TGCTCGAGCCACGCTGCCGCCTAGAACCGCCAGTTCTTGTAGTTTTCGAGCTATTCTTTTCTTTGTGCGACCAGTGTCTTGCACGGTTGCCAGGCTGGAGGTGCAGCGGGCGTCATCTCAGCTCACTGCAACCTCCGCTACCCGGGCCTGGGCGAGTTCAGGCAATTGCTCCACTGCCATCAGCCTACCTGAGCTCAGCTGGGGAATTACAGGCACGTGCCACCGCCACCATAGCCCCAGCTGATAAATTTTTTGCTATTTTTAGTAGAGACGTTCACCATGTTGCACCAGGCATGCGTCCTCTTTTTTAATGATCTCTTAGACCTCGTGCATCCACCCGTTCTTCTCGGCCTCCCAAATGTGCTGCAGGATTACAGGCCTGCACGCCACTCGCCCAGCGCCTTGTAAAGAGAGAGAGTCTGCCCTCGTGCTGCTAGGCCTGGAGTGCAGTAGCTGTGACCAGAACTCACTGCAGACCATCCGACTCTGCAGTTCTAGAGCGATCCTCCTGCTTTGGCTCCAAATCGCATTGGGCAATACAGGGTGCTGAGCACACGCTCAGCCCTCTCCTCGTTTCTCTTTTCTTTAGGACCACCTTCTGCTCATACTCTCTCTGACCCTCTGCAGCTCCTACCATTCTTCCTTCCAACTCCGGAGTGTGCTAGCCTGGCTGTCTGTGAGTCTCTATTCTTGGCGATGCTCCTCTTCGTACTATAGCTAGGTTGACACGTGTCTCAGTAGGCTTACGCGTGTCCGCTACCTGCATGCCCTCAGTTGGTTGTCTAGACCCACACTGCCTCTTGTCTCTAAGCGCACCCTTTTCCCCTCTCCCTTTTTTGTTCTCTCTTAGTGGCTCACCCGTGCTGCATCCCTTCCATACTTCCAGGCCTTCGGGGCCCCTGTGCCACTGCCACACCCCATCACAGGTCCCCTCCCCAGCACCCCACCCCCAGACCGAGGGTCCATGTCTCTGTCAGGGCGTAAATGCTGAGTCCAGGAGCAAACTCCAGGGGTACAGTGCTGACCCCTCCAAAGCTCACTGTGTTATTTTGGTTTCCTCACCATGTACTTGAGAGACGCTTAGCTGCTGTATCTGCTGTGTGGGGGTTTCTGGCCCATTACAGCTCCCTGCCCTCTCTTCCCTCATCTTTTGTCTTTTTAGGGCTGCTTTATCTTAATTTCTCATTGAATCTCTATTTTCAAATGCAGATGACTCAGGCTGCTGGCTTCTTTCATTTAGGCATCTGGGCTCTTTGACACCTTGCGGTGAGTGTGAGTTAGTTTATTAGATTCATTTTGGAGCCAGGTGGCGTAGGGGAAAGGAATTGAAGAGAGGGAGGTAGCAGTGCTTCCATTGATTTCTGAAAAGGCCTTCCCCGATTCTCTAGCCCCAGACAGACAGTGCGTGAGAGCTCACAGTTAGTGGGCAGTCCCTGGTGGGTCCACAGGTATCTGCAGTCACGGGCTGAGCGTGATGTGTGTAAACATCCACGTCACCGGTGTACTGCCCTCCCTCACAGCACTTAGCCAGGCATCTGTTACCGAGGTAATAATGTTTCGTGTTTGTAGATCAAAAATGTGTGGAATAGTTTCAATATCGTATGTTCTGCTGCTAAGTTATGCAGGGCAAGTCTGAGGAGCGTTGAGATCACTGAGAAAGAGGCCGGGCGTGGTGGCACATGCCTGTTCATCGCAGCCCTTTGGGAGGCTGAGGAGGGCCGTCACCTGAGGTCAGGAGTTCAAGACCAGCCTTGCCAACATGGTGGAAACCCCTTCTGTACTAAAAAAGTTGCAAATATTAGCTGGGTGTTTGTGGCACATACCTGTAATCCCAGCTACTCAGGAGGCTGAGGCAGGAGAACACTTGAACCCAGGAGCCTTAGGCTGCAGTATTTTCATGCCAATGCAGGTGCTTTGGGATGAATTTCTAGGATGGGCTGGGAGAAGGTGAGTACACATTGTGCCCTAGAGGACACTCATATCCCCCCTGCCGGACCCCATCACCACTCACTCATCCAGCCACCAGTTCCCCTAAACTGCTGCTTTGAGACAGCCCATTCCCTGTGTACGGGAACTTACTGCTGGGGCCTCCCTCCCACAGCTCCCCACGGTTTCAGAGGCCCCTCCAGAGCCTCTTCTTCTGCCCTAGGTGCTGCCCCATGCTTCCATGCTGTCCGCAGGTGCTGACGCGTACCGGCCGCTCGGCTCCAGTCCCCAGATGCAGGCTGCATAAGGGCAGGGTCTGCCTCCACTGCCCCTCCCCACGCACAGCCAGACAAACGCAAATAGAGCCTCCTCTCCAGCAGCCGCTAACCCGCTTTGTGGCGGTGCTGCCTTGTCACGTTTTGGGAGGTCTCTAGGCATTTGGCTTCTTTCAGAATGGACCATTGCGGGCCATAGGGAGCCTTGGGCCTGAGCTTGTCTACTCCTTGGCACACTGAGCTGTGCCTGCCTGGCCAGCATCTGCCTGGCTCCCCTCGGTCCTTCACAAAGACTCACGAAGGCCCCTCTTCCAGGTGCTGGCACACGGGCAGGAAGTCCAGAAGAGAGGGCCTGCAGATCTGCTCTCAGCAAGCCTGTCGTCTAGTGGAAGAGACTGGCCAGGACACACACCCACGTGTGGATGCCGCTGTGGGTTAGGCGCAGGGCTCGAGAGTGATGTGCTGTCAGCACGATGAAACGGTCGTGTCTTCAAAGGTGAGCTGCTGGGGCTGGGTGTGGTGGCTCACTCTCACGCACCTGTACCCAGCACTTGGGATCCAGGCAACGGCAGGCAGACTCATCCCGATGGTCAGAAGAAGCAGAAGTTCCAGACCAGCCGGCAACATGGAGAGAACCCCGTTATCTGCTAAAAATACAAAAATATAGCCGTGTGTGCGCGTGCCTGTAATCCAGCTACTTGGGAGGCTTAGGCAGGAGAGAATCGCTTGAACATGGGAGGTGGAGTTGCAGTGGCCAAAAATCACACCACTGCACCTAGCCTGGGTGACAGAGCAAGAAGTCACTCTCAAAGATTAGCTGCTGTCTGCCTAGCAGGGGTGGGGAGAGACCAGCAATCTGGCTGTAGAAGCCTCTCAGTCTAGCCCTCCAGATGAACAGTGAACAGTCACTGTGGAGGGCCATCCAGCACTGGGGTGGGTTTATATAGCTGAGGTGAGGCATGTCTCCATAGCCCTGCCTGCACCCCCAGAAGGTCAGCAGTCCTGAGAGTCCAGCACTGCAGTCACTGACCCGACCCGAAAGCCTCATCGGTCCATGCAACTAAAAGTCTGCAGGGGTGGTGTGCGTGCCTGGAATCGCGACAGCGGGTGGCGCTGCGGCAGGAGGATCGCTCAGCCCCGGGAGTTCTGAGACCCATACTGGCAACATAGGGAGACCCATGCCCTACACACCATACATGCACCAACAACAAACAGATTAGCTGGTGTGTGGCAGGACCTGTAATCCAGCTACTGGGAGGCTGAGTGGGAAGTGGCTGGAGCCAGAAAGCTGAGCTGCAGTGAGCTGTGATTGCATCATTGCACTCCAGCCTGGACGAGAGCAAGACCCTGCCGCTGCAGAAACAACACACAAAACAGGATCAGATAAATAAGTCTGTGTCTGTAACACCTTTCACTGGGTTCCGGCAGCCTCTGCACCACTGCCAACATGTCACAGAAACGCTTCTCGCCACGGACATTGAGACGCTACTACTCTTGTTAGCAAGATATGTATGTATAGATGTTATTATTTATTTATTTTTTGAGACAGAGTTTTGCTCCGTTGTTGCCCAGGCTGGAGGCAACGGGGTGATCTCAGCTCCACAACCTCACCTACCCGGGGTGAGGAAAAGAGGGGGAGAAGGGGGGGGGGGGGGGGGAGGGGGGGGGAGGAGGGAGGGGATGTGGGGGAGAGGAAGAAGGGAGGGGAGGGAAAAGGGAGAGGGGAAAGAAAAAGTAAACGTATTAAATGGGAGAAAAAGAGAGAAAAGAAAGAAAGGAAAAGAAGTGTTGGGGATAGGAAAAGAAAAACAGGAAAGAGGGAATGGTATGGGAGATATAGAAGAAAAAGGATAAAATAAGAGGGGGAAAGGAAAAAAGAAAGAAAGTTCTCAGGTGGAAAAAGTTTCAGAACTTCTAGAAGCAGACCGCGGGGCAAACTCAAAAAAGAGTATTCCCCCAACAAGAACCTCGATTCAGAAGCATACCCATTAGCTGATTACAGGTCCATGGTCGGACGACACTGGATCCCCAGAGATAATCATCGTTTGTGTTTTTGTGTGTTGTTGCATTTATGTGTTGGTTGTATAATGGCTGGTGTGTCGTTCTTCCCATTTTGCCCAATTTTCTCCGCTCATCCAATCCTTCTCCGTCAAACTCCCGGGCTGAAGCAATCCTCCTGCCTCAGCCACCCGCTGTCGCGATTCCAGGCACGCACCACCACCCCTGCCAGACTTAGTTGCATGGACAGAGAGGCTTTCCGGGGGTCAGTGACTGCAGTGCTGGACTCTCAGGACTGCTGACCTTCTGGGGGTGCAGGCAGGGCTATGGAGACATGCCTCACCTCAGCTATAACCCACCCCAGTGCTGGATGGCCTGCCACAGTGACTGTTCACTGTTCATCTGGAGGGCTAGATGAGAGGCTTCTACAGCCAGATTGCTGGTCTCTCCCCCACCCCTGGCTAGGCAGACAGCAGCTAATCTTTTTTTTTTTTTTTTTTTTTTTTGAGATGGACTCTTGCTCTGTCACCCAGGCTGGAGTGCAGTGGTGTGATTTTTGGCCCACTGCAACCTCCACCTCCCAGGTTCAAGCGATTCTCCTGCCTAAGCCTCCCAAGTAGCTGGGATTACAGGCACGCGCCACCACACTGGCTAATTTTTGTATTTTTAGCAGATAACGGGGTTTCTCCATGTTGGCCAGGCTGGTCTGGAACTTCTGACCTCGGGTGATCTGCCTGCCGTTGCCTCCCAAAGTGCTGGGGTTACAGGCGTGAGCCACCACACCCAGCCCCAGCAGCTCACCTTTGAAGACGCGACCGTTCATGTGCCTGACAGCACACACTCTCGAGCCCTGCCGCCAACCCACAGCGGCATCCACACGTGGGTGTGTGTCCTGGCCAGTCTCTTCCACTAGACGACAGGCTTGCTGAGAGCAGAATCTGCAGGCCTCTCTTCTAGGACTTCTTGCCCGTGTGCCAGCACCTGGAAGAGGGGCCTTCGTGAGTCTTTGTGAAGGACCGAGGGAGCCAGGCAGATGCTGGCCAGGCAGGCACAGCTCAGTGTGGCCAAGGAGTAGACAAGCTCAGGCCCAAGGCTCCCTATGGCCCGCATGGTCCATTCTGAAAAGAAGCCAAATGCCTAGAGACCTCCCAAAACGTGACAAGGGCAGCACCAGCCACAAAGCGGGTTAGCGGCTGCTGGAGAGGAGGCTCTATTTGCGTTTGTCTGGCTGTGCGTGGGGAGGGGCAGTGGAGGCAGACCCTGCCCTTATGCAGCCTGCATCTGGGGACTGGAGCCGAGCGGCCGGTACGCGTCAGCACCTGCGGACAGCATGGAAGGCATGGGGGCAGCACCTAGGGCAGAAGAAGAGGCTCTGGAGGGGCCTCTGAAACCGTGGGGAGCTGTGGGAGGGAGGCCCCAGCAGTAAGTTTCCCGTACACAGGGAATGGGCTGTCTCAAAGCAGCAGTTTAGGGGAACTGGTGGCTGGATGAGTGAGTGGTGATGGGGTCCGGCAGGGGGGATATGAGTGTCCTCTAGGGCACAATGTGTACTCACCTTCTCCCAGCCCAACCCTAGGAAATTCATCCCAAAGCACCTGCATTGGCATGAAATACTGCAGCCTAAGGCTCCTGGGTTCAAGTGATTCTCCTGCCTCAGCCTCCTGAGTAGCTGGGATTACAGGTATGTGCCACAACACCCAGCTAATATTTGCATTTTTAGTACAGAAGGGGTTTCACCATGTTGGCAAGGCTGGTCTTGAACTCCTGACCTCAGGTGATCGGCCCTCCTCAGCCTCCCAAAGGGCTGCGATGACAGGCATGTGCCACCACGCCCGGCCTCTTTCTCAGTGATCTCAACACTCCTCAGACTCGCCCTGCATAACTTAGCAGCAGAACCATACGATATTGAAACTATTCCACTATTTTTGATCTACAAACACGAAACATTATTTACCTCGGTAACAGATGCCTGGCTAAAGTGCTGTGAGGGAGGGCAGACCCGGTGACTGGGATGTTTACACACATCACGCTTCCAGCCCGTGACTGCAGATACCTGTGGACCCACCAGGGACTGGCCCACTAACTGTGAGCTCTCACGCACTGTCTGTCTGGGGCTAGAGAATCGGGGAAGGCCTTTCCCCAGAAATCAATGGAAGCACTGCACCTCCCTCTTCAATTCCTTTCCCCTAGCCACCTGGCTCCAAAATGAATCTAATAAACTAACTCACCTCACCGCAAGGTGTCAAAGGCCCAGATGCCTAAATGAAAGAAGCCAGCAGCCTGAGTCATCTGCATTTGAAAAGAGATTCAATGAGAAATTAAGATAAAAGCCAGCCCTAGACCAAAGAGAGGGAAGAGAGGGCAGGGAGCTGTAATGGGCCAGAACCCCCACCAAGCAGATACAGCAGCTAAGGTCTCTCAAGTACAATGGTGAGGAAACCAAAATAACACAGTGAGCTTTGGAGGGGTCAGCACTGTACCCTGGAGTTTGCTCTGACTCAGCATTTACTCCCTGACAGAGACATGGACCCTCGGTCTGGGGGTGGGGTGCTGGGGAGGGGACCTGTGGATAGGGTGTGCCAGTGGCACAGGGCCTGGAAGTATGGAAGGAGGCACCACGGGGACCACGAGGTTCCCTTAGAACAAGAGCAGTGTGGGGTCTAGACAACCAACTGAGGGCATGCAGGTACCACGGTAAGCCACTGAGACTCCTGTAAACCCAAGACAAGAGGAGGGCATCCCCAAGAAAGAGCTCACAGCCAGCTAGCACACTCCTGGGAGTTGGAAGGAAGAATGGTAGGAGCTGGCAGAGCAGAGAGATGAGCAGGGGAAGGTGGCCAAAGAAAAAGAAAACAGGGAAGGGCTGAGCGTGGTGGCTCACACCTGTATCCCAACATTTGGGAGGCCAAAGCAGGAGGAATGCTTGAACTCAGGAGTCTGAGGCTGCAGTGAGTTCTGGTCACACTACTGCACTCCAGCCTAAGCAACAGAGCAAGACTCTCTCTTTAAAAAAAAAAAAGGCCGGGCGCAGTGGCTCAGGCCTATAATCCCAACACTTTGGGAGGCCGAGACGGGTGGATCACGAGGTCAAGAGATCGAGACCATCCTGGTCAACATGGTGAAACCCCGTCTCTACTAAAAATACAAAAAATCAGCTGGGCATGGTGGCGCATGCCTGTAATCCCAGCTACTCAGGAGGCTGAGGCAGGAGAATTGCCTGAACCCGGGAGGCGGAGGTTGCAGTGAGCTGAGATGACGCCCCTGCACTCCAGCCTGGGCAACCGTGCAAGACACTGTCTAAAAAAAAAGAAAAGAAAACTACAAACTGGCCAGGCGCAGCGGCTCACACCTGTAATCCCAACACTTTCGGAGGCCAAGGCAGGCAGATCACTTGAGGTCAGGAGTTCGAGACTAGCTACGGTTACACATAATCACCTGAATCTTGAAAACATTGTCATCTGGTGAAAGAAATCAGACCCAAAAGTATTCATTTGTGACTCCATTGATGTGACTTTTTTTTTTTTTTTTTTTTTTGAGGCGGAGTTTCGCTCTCGTTACCCAGGCTGGAGTACAATGGCGCGATCTCGGCTCACCGCAACCTCCGCCTCCTGGGTTCAGGCAATTCTCCTTCCTCAGCCTCCTGAGTAGCTGGGATTACAGGCACGCGCCACCATGCCCAGCTAATTTTTTGTATTTTTAGTAGAGACGGGGTTTCACCATGTTGACCAGGATGGTCTCGATCTCTTGACCTCGTGATCCACCCGTCTCGGCCTCCCAAAGTGCTAGGATTACAGGCGTGAGCCACCGCGCCCGGCCGACTTTTTTTTTTTAAGACAGAATCCCACTCTATCGCCCAGGCTGGAATGCACTGACACGATCTCAGGTCACTGCGACCTCTGCCTTAGTTTCAAGCCATTCTCCTGCTTCAGCCTCCCACATAGCTGGGATTACACGCGTGTGTCACCACACCCGGCTAATTTTCTGTATTTTTTTTTTGAGTTTTATTTTTATTTTTATTTATTTATTTATTTATTTTTTTGAGACAGAGTTTCACTCTTGTTACCCAGGCTGGAGTGCAATGGCGCGATCTCGGCTCACCACAACCTCCGCCTCCTGGGTTCAGGCAATTCTCCTGCCTCAGCCTCCTGAGTAGCTGGGATTACAGGCACGCGCCACCATGTCCAGCTAATTTTTGTATTTTTAGTAGAGACGGGGCTTCTCCATGTTGACCAGGATGGTCTTGATCTCTTGACCTCGTGATCCACCCGCCTCAGCCTCCCAAAGTGCTGGGATTACAGGCGTGAGCCACTGCGCCCGGCTAATTTTCTGTATTTTTAGTAGAGACGAGGTTTCACTGTGTTAGCCAGGATGGTCTCAATCTCCTGACCTCGTGATCTACCTGCCTTGGCCGCCCAAAGCACTGGGATTACAGGCGTGAGCCACCGCGCCTGGCCATGTGAAATTATTAAAAAGGGACAGCAAGGCCGGGCGCGGTGGCTCAAGCCTGTAATCCCAGCACTTTGGGAGGCCGAGGCGGGTGGATCACGAGGTCAAGAGATCGAGACCATCCTGGTCAACATAGTGAAACCCCGTCTCTACTAAAAATACAAAAAATTAGCTGGGCATGGTGGCGCGTGCCTGTAATCCCAGCTACTCGGGAGGCTGAGGCAGGAGAATTGCCTGAGCCCAGGAGGAGGAGGTTGCGGTGAGCCGAGATCGCGCCATTGCACTCCAGCCTGGGTAACAAGAGCGAAACTCCGTCTCAAAAAAAAAAAAAAAAACAAAAAAAAAAAAACGGACAGCAAACCCATAGTAATAGAAAGCAGGCCACTGCTGCTGGGCTGGGTGTGGCAAAGGGCTGACTATGGAGGAACGTTTATAACAGAACTTTTGGGGGTAATGGAAATGCTCTATATTTGGATTATAACTATGTTTACAAAACCCATCAAACTGTACTTTTTTTTTTTTTTCCGAGACGGAGTCTTGCTCTGTCGCCCAGGCTGGAGTGCAGTGGCCCAATCTCAGCACACTGCAACTTCCGCCTCCTGGGTTCAAGTGATTCTCCTGTCCCAGCCTCCAGAGTAGCTGGGATTACAAACACCTGTAGCCACACCCAGCTAAGTACGTTTAGTTGAGACAGGGTTTCACCATGTTGGCCAGGCTGATCTCGAACTCCTGACCTTGTGATTCGCTGGCCTTGGCCTTCTAAAGTGCTGGGATTACAGGTGTGAGTCACTGTGCCCGGTCTAAATTCCTGGGAGGATTAAATTAGTTAATACGCATAGCATTTTTGATGTCTAGCACCGGAGGTGGGCAAACTATAGCCTGCAGTGTAATTTTTTTTTTTTTTTTTTTTTGAGACAGTCTTACTCTGTCACCCAGGCTGGAGTGCAGTGGCATGATCTCAGCTCACTGCAGCCTCTGCCTCCGACGTTCCAGTGATTCTCCTGCCTCAACCTCCCAAATAGCTGGGATTACAGGTGTGCACCACTGCATGGGGCTTATTATTGTATTTTTAGTAGAGATGGGGTTTCACCATGTTGGCCACATTGGTCTCAAACTCTTGATCTCATGTGATCCTCCCACCTCGGCCTCTCAAAGTGCTAGGATTACAGGCGTGAGCCACTGTGCCCAGCCCCTGCAGTATATTTTGATATGGCCTATGAGCTAAGAATGGCTTTTTTTTTTTTTTTTTTTGAGACGGAGTGTCGCTCTTGTGACCCAGGCTGGAGTGCAATGGCACGATCTCAGCTCACCGCAACCTCCGCCTCCTGGGTTCAGGCAATTCTCCTGCCTCAGCCTCCCGAGTAGCTGGGATTACAGGCACGTGCCACCACGCCCAGCTAATTTTTTGTATTTTTAGTAGAGACGGGGTTTCACCATGTTGACCAGGATGGTCTCGATCTCTTGACCTCGTGATCCACCTGCCTCAGCCTCTCAAAGTGCTGGGATTACAGGCTTGAGCCACCGCGCCCAGCCCTTTTTTTTTTTTTTTTTTTTTTGAGACAGAATCTTGCTCTGTCGTCCAGGCTGGAGTGTAGTGGCACAATCTCAGCTCACTGCAACCTCTGCCTGAGTAAAAGTGATTCTTCTGCCTCAGCCTCCCGTGTAGCTGGGACTACAGGCATGTGCCACCATGCCCGGCTAATTTTTGTATTTTTAGTAAAGATGGGGTTTCATCATGTTGGTCAGGCTGGTCTCCAACTCCTGCCCTCATGATCCACCCCGTCTCCAGCCTTGACCTCCTAAAGTGCTGGGAAGAATGGCTTTTACATTTTTAAATGAGCGGGGAAAAATCTAAAAGAATTCTTTCTGACACATGAAAAGGATATGAAATTACATTTTAGTGTTTATAAAGTTTTGTTGCAACACAGCTCTTTCACCTATACTTTTTCTGTGGTTGGTTTTTTTTTTTTTTTTTTTTTTTTTGGTGCTATTACTCAGATATCTGTGGCTGTTTTACATAATGGCAGAGTTGAGGAGTTTTGAAAGAAACCACATGGTCAGGCCAGGTGTGGTGGCTCAGGCCTATAATCCCAGCACTTTGGGAGACCGAGGTTGGTGGATCACCTGAGGTCAGGAGTTCAAGACCAGCCTGGCCAACATGGTAAAACCCTGTTTCTACTAAAAATACAAAGTTAGCCTGGCATGGTGGCAGGTGCCTGTAGTCCCAGCTACTCGGGAGGCTGAGGCTGGAGAATCACCTGATATGTGAGGTGGAGGCTGCAGTGAGCCAAGGGTCCCACTGCACTTTACATCCTCAGATATCTTCTGGTCAACAGAGCAAGACTCTGTCTCAAAAGAAAAAAAAAAATTTAGTGTTCATCAAGAAAGTCTTGTTGCAACATGGTTCTTTCACCTACATATTATCTGTGGCTGCTTTTTTACAAACTGGCAGATTTGTGGAGTTTTGATGGACACCACAGGGTCAAGACAAGTGCAGTGGCTCACGCCTGTAATCCCAGCAGTTTGGGGCTGAGGTGCGCAGATCACAAGGCCAGGAGGTCGAGACTGGCCTGGCCAATATGGTGAAACCCTTTTTCTACTAAAAATATAAAAATTAGCCAGGCGTGGTGGCACGTGCCTGTAGTCCGAGCTACGCGGGAGGCTGAGGCAGAAGAATCGATTGAACCCACGAGGTGGAGGTTGTAGTGAGCTGAGATCCCACTACTGCACTCCACCTTGGGCAAAAGGGAGACTCTGTCTTAAAAAACAAAGAAACGAAAACGCCAAGCATAGTGGCTGACGCCTGTAATCCCAACACTTTGGGAGGCCGAGGAGGGTGGATCACAAGGCCAGCAGCTGAAGACCACCCTGGCCAATATGGCGAAACCCTGTCTCTACTAAAAATATAAAAATCAGCTGGGCGTGGTGGCATGTGCCTGTAGTCCCAGCTACTTGAGAGGCTGAAGCAGAAAAATTGCTTCAACCTGGGAGCTGGAGGTTGCAGTGAGCCAAGATCGCACAACTGGACTCCAGCCTGGGAGACAAAGGAAGACTCCATCTCAAAAAAAAAAAAGACTGGGTGTGTGGCTCATGCCTGTAATCCCAGCACTTTGGGAGGCTGAGTTGGGCAGATCACCTGAGGTCGGGAGTTTGAGACCAGGCTGACCAACATGTAGAAACCCTGTCTCTACTAAAAATAGAAAAAAATTAGCCAGGTGTGGCAGTGCCTGTAGTCCCAGCTACTCAGGAGGCTGAGGTAGGAGAATCACTTGAACCCAGGAACTGGAGGTTGCAGTGAGCAGAGATCGTGCCACTGCACTCCAGCCTGGGTGACAGAGGGAGACTCCATCTCAAAAAGAAAAAGAAAAAGAAAAAAGAGGCCGGGCGCGGTGGCTCATTCCTGTAATCCCAGCACTTTGGGAGGCCAAGGTGGGTGGATCACAAGGTCAGGAAATCGAGATCATCCTGGCCAACATGGTGAAACCCCATCTCTACTAAAAGTATAAAAATTAGCTGGGCATGATGATGCACGCCTGTAGTCCCAGCTACTAGGGAGGCTGAGGCAGCATAACTGCTTGAACCTGGGAGACAGAGGTTGAAACGGGCTGACTGTGACACTGCACTCCAGGCTGGTGACAGAGGGAGACTCTGTCTCAAAACATAAAAAACAGGCCGGGCGCGGTGGCTCACGCCTATAATCCCAGCACTTTGGGAGGCCGAGGCGGGTGGATCATGAGGTCAAGAGATCGAGACCACCCTAGTCAACATAGTGAAACCCCACATCTACTAAAAATACAAAAATTAGCTGGGCATGGTGGCGCGTGCCTGTAATCCCAGCTACTCAGGAGGTTGAAACAGGAGAATTGCTTGAACCCAGGAGGCGGAGGTTGCAGTGAGCCGAGATCGCGCCATTGCACTCCAGCCTCGGTAACAAGAGCAAAACTCCCTCTCAAAAAAAACAAACAAAAAAAAAAATTAGCTGGCATGGTGGCATGCACCTATAATCCCAGTTACTGGGGAGGCTGAGGCAGGAGAATCATTTGAACCCGGGAGACAGAGGTTACAGGGAGTAGAGATCGCCCCACTACACTCCAGTCTGGGCAACAGAATGAGCCTTCATCTCAAACAAACAAAAAACCGGAAACCACATGGTTAAATGTTTAGCAAAGCCTAAAATGTTTACTACCTAGCCCTTCACAGAAAAAGCTGGCCAACCCCTGATCTAACACATTTATTTGGTGCTACCAGCTTCATTATCACTCCCACCTCCATCAGCTGCTCCTTCTGTCTGGAAAGTTATTCCACCAGATCTTAGGATAGCATGTTCCTTCTTGGGACTTGGACCACATCTTTTTTTTTTTTTTTTTTTTTTGAGACGGAGTTTCGCTCTTGTTACCCAGGCTAGAGTGCAATGGCGCGATCTCGGCTCCCTGCAACCTCCGCCTCCTGGGTTCAGGCAATTCTCCTGCCTCAGCCTCCTGAGTAGCTGAGATTACAGGCACGCGCCAGCTAATTTTTTGTATTTTTAGTAGAGACAGGGTTTCACCATGTTGACCAGGATGGTCTCAATCTCTTGACCTCGTGATCCACCTGCCTGGGCCTCCCATAGTGCTGGGATTATAGGCGTGAGCCACCACGCCCGGCCTGGACCACATCTTAAGTGTGATCTCCTCAGAGTTCTTCTGTGGTTAACTTGTTATTCTCTTATCTCATTGCCCTGTTTTAATTCTTGACACTCACACATCACACGTCACTTACTGTTTGTTTACCTGCTGCATCCTCAGAACTGGGCCAGTGCCCGACTCATAGGAAGCACTCACACTCTTAACTGCAAAGGGATGAACAGGTGAACAGCTACTGAGCCTGTGGAACAGGGGTCCCAGCACCAGATGTGACATGGGAGGCTCTGAGCTCATGGCTGAGCAAGTCTGATGAAAAGGCCTCACTTAGGTGTGCGTGCACCAGTGCCAGCAGAGCCTTGGCATGAGAGACAGGAGAACCTGGAACTGCCACCCAGTTCTCATTCTGGCCAATGAATAGATGTGGCACAGTGCTAGGGCAGGACACACTGGGGGCAGAACAAGGGTGGAGCTGGGGGGCTGGTGTCGTCTGTGGGATCAGCTGAGACTAAGGTTCCTAAGCTGCAGGCAGTGGAGAGTTGTATCAATTGGCTGTTCATTCAGACCAGAGGTTCAAGAATTCCCAGGACATAGACCCCCAAAGTGAAGACATACAGGAGGAGCCCCCTTGCTAGGTACCTGCTCACCCAGGCAACCCTCGGGGCAAAGTGGATCCAGATACATCCCAAGCAGGTGAGGAATGAGGCCAGGCCAGGACAATCAAGAGACAGGAGGGATGGCCCCAACCAATACGGAGGAAATCCAGCTCAAACACCAGGAGGAGAAAGGACCCCCTAAAGCCTCCCCCATCCCAACCCAAAGCTGGGGGACTTGGGGCAGGAGCAGGCAGCTGGCCCTGCAGAGCTCTAAAGGTCCAGGACAGGGACAAGCATGGAGTCAGCCGGTGGGCAGGTCCACTAGGCAGCCCCCAGCCGCCAGCGCTCCTCTGGGGCAGTCGTGGCTCTGGGTCCCTGAAGTGAACCAGGTAGCGCAGCCACAGGTCTCTTCAGGAGGCCCAGGGTACTGCAGGCAACACCCCCTTTTCCCAGGGAAAGCCCAATATTACCAGGAGGCAACTGGGGCGCCAAGATGCCCAGGAGGGCTCACTGCTGAGCTAGACACGCTTTGAAAAAGGCAGCGGTCGGCCGGGCGCGGTGGCTCAAGCCTGTAATCCCAGCACTTTGGGAGGCCGAGGCGGGTGGATCACGAGGTCAAGAGATTGAGACCATCCTGGTCAACATGGTGAAACCCCGTCTCTACTAAAAACACACAAAAAATTAGCTGGGTGTGGTGGCGCTGTGCCTGTAATCCCAGCTACTCAGGAGGCTGAGGCAGGAGAATTGCCTGAACCCGGGAGGCGGAGGTTGCGGTGAGCCGAGATCGCGCCACGGCACTCCAGGCAGCGGTACCCCCGCCTCCACTTCCACTCCCAAGCAGGGATCCAGGATGAAAAGGAAGGCACAGAGCTTTGGGGAGGCCCAGCTTTGCTCTGGCTCCCCTAAGCCTAGAATGACTCTATACACACCCTTCTCTGCACCCATGGAAATTAACCCCATCGTGCCCGGGGCCTCCACTCTGGTACAGACAGGCGCCCACACCAGTCCTGGACACTCCCTCCCAGGCGGGTGCTTGCTTGGTTAATTCTTGCCCTGATCCCATCGCCATGAGGGGTGCTCCGGGCGCCCAGCAGTACAAGTGAGGTCACTTGAATCCCGGAAGGCTGAAGGAACTTCCTTCAGAGAGACTCCACTTTCCCCCTCAGCCTAGCTCCAAAGCCCCCACAAAGCTCGGGTAAGTCCCTTCTCTGCGGCCTTGATTTCCTCATCCGAAAATGGAGGTAACTCCGGAGTCGTGTACCTGACCGGCGGGCTGCGGGGAATCCACACACCTTTACCTTGGAACAAAATGCGAAGCGCCCCCCGGCAGCCTCCGGCTCCCAGCCCTTCCTGCCCCTTGGCACCTGCTGCCGTGGGACTCAGCCAGCCACGCCCGCGGCGGCCGGGCGGGACCTGTGCCCTGGGCGCCCGCGTGCCGGCAGCCGCGACTCCCGAGGGCCCCTCCCCGGCCTCCTCCCTCCCCCGGGCTTCCTCCTCCCTCCCGCCCCTGAGCCTCGTCCTTCCCCGGCCGGGCCTCCTCTCTCGATGTCGACCCAGTGCCCATTCTTCCCCGGCCGGCCACCGCGGTGCCCGGCCGGGGACCCTCTCCCTCGCTCCGCTCTCGCCACAGGACCCGGGACTCCGTGCCTCACCTCGCGCCCCGCACCGGCCGCCGCGCAAGTGGGTCCGCGGGCTTCCGCGGGTCAGTGGGCCCCGCGCTCCCAGAGGCGCTGCGGGGGACGGGCCCCGCGCCCGGCCCTCGCCATGGCAACGCTACACTTCCGGCCCGCGATACCTGCAGCCGGAAGCCGCAGTGCCCCGTGGGAGCCGGGGGCGGGGCATCGGGGGCGGGGCCTGGGCGGGGCCTGGGCGGGGCATCGGGGGCCGGCCCTGGGGCTGCCGGGGTCGGCTGCGGGCGACCGGGCGATCCCTCTGCGGCCGCGACCTCCTCGTGCCTTGGGTGAGACGGCGAGTGCTCAGAGCCTCCTGGGACGGTAGTGGAAAAAACCGAGTCATCGTGGGCAACCGGACGGACGCCGGCGGAATGAGTGGCAGCTTTGGGGGTGGTTTCGGCCCGGGACACTGCGGTCCGAGAGGAGCGGTCAGAACTCGGGGAGCCTCCAGCGTCCCACCAAGGAGGCGCCAGCGGAGAGGGGTGCCTTCAGACTTAAGGGAAAGGCCCAGCGCGGTGGCTCACGTCTGTGATGCCAGCACTTTGGGAGGAGGCTGAGGCTGCTGGGTCGCTTGAGCCCAGGAGAGCAACCTGGGCAACATAGGGAGGCCTTGTCCCCTACCAAAAAGTGAGAAATTAGCCGGGCGCTACGGCGCACACCTGTAGTCCTGTGAGGCTTAGGCGGGAGGATCGATCGGAGCCCAGGAGGTGGAGGCTGCACTGAGCCCAGATGACACTACTATACTCCAGCCTGGGCAACAGAGAGAGACCTTGTCTCAAAACAACAACAAAGACCTGTGGGAAAGCACGACGCCTTGCTGACCGGATGGGGTCAGAGGCCACGAGTATTTCGCCTCCTGAGGTACAGGACTTTGCAGCCTTAGCCTAGGGAACACACCAGAGAGGGCCTCAGCGTCGAGGTGGTGACCGGAGTGCTGAGGGAAACCACGTGAGGTCTGAGGGGCGTGTCCGAGATAGAGGGAAAACGGCTGGCGTAGCTGCAGTAGCAGGGTGGCACCCCACAGACAAGGCCCCGGCCAGCCCAGACTCCTCCTTCAGGACACCCGCTGCCTGTCCCTCCCCTCCACACCTTGGGATGGGCTGGGCTCCACCATATGCTGCAGATTTTCAGCCTTTTGAGGTGATCATGGTGGGGGCTGCACAAGAAAAGCTGAATTCTCGGAGAGAGCAAAAGCCTATCCCTGGGCCCCCGTGTGTCTGGGGGCTTTTAGCTCTGGTGCCAGCACCAACCACTGCTGCTAGTGCCCAGAGCTACTATCCTCTCGGGCAAACTTGCCCCTTGTGAGGGAGGAGAACCCGGGCTTTGGGGCAGAGTACCTCACACTGGCCTTGCTTGGATGGAGGAGGTGGCGGGTCCACCTGGACTCCCGAAGCAGCTCCCAGGAAATCACTTGAGTCCCTGTGTTTCCCTTTTGTTCCTAGGGTGGGGGCTTCGTAGCCTTCTCCTCCCGAAAGCCCCACCTGATCATGCCCCGGGTAGGTATCCAGCCCCCATAGCCCAAGGCCCACTAGCTGCTAGGTCTTGAACTCCAGGGACACCCTTCCTTGGGAGCTTAGCATGGGCTAATTACTCCCCCATCTGTTAAGTGGGGTCCTGTGACCTGGCCAGGGAAGATGGGATAAAGTAGTCCTGTGTCATCGCAGACCCTTCGAAGAGCAGCCTGGCCACGCAAAGGCAGCTCAGGGGTGGAGACTAAGGCCTCAGGAGAAGCACCCACTAGAATCCTCTCTGCCCCTCCCTTCCAGATTAACCAAAACCTGCTAATTGTGGCAGCCCTCGGCAGGCTCCCCTCCCCCATGGCCTCTTCCTCCCTTCCTTCCCCTCCCCTTTCCATCCGAATGATAAAGGGCCCAGCCAGCCAGCCCCCACCCGGCCTCAGGCCCCGGCCCTGCCTCCCACACTGCCCCACTGCCCTGCACCCTCCACCAGGCCAGGCCCCTGCCCACGCTGTCTCCGGTCTTGCATGGGGCCCTGCAGCGGCTCCCGCCTGCGGCCCCCAGAAGAAGAGTCGCCCTCCCAGCCCCCCAAGAGGAGGAAGAAGAGGTACCTTCGACATGACAAGCCCCCCTACACCTACTTGGCCATGATTGCTTTGGTGATTCAGGCCGCACCCTCCCGCAGGCTGAAGCTGGCCCAGGTGAGATGGCCCTGGCCCCTACTCTCCCTTGCACTCCGTGGCTGGACCTTTCCCCAGACCCGTTCCCCACCTACTTCCAGGCTCAAGCCCTGGCCCCCACCGCTTCCTAGCCCACCCAGCCACTGGGACCAGTCCTGGGAACTGAGGGCCTTGAGGCACGACCCTTCTCCAGGAGCCCCCGTCGCCTCTGCTGTCCTTTGGTGCAAATACGTTCTTCTTTGGGGAGAACGGGGCCAACACCCGCGCACCTCTGAGCCCGGTGGTGGGGGAGGGGCGGGGCGCCGCCCCCCGCGCGCCCGGGCTCACTGTGCTGGCCGGCCACCCGCTGGTTTCAGATCATCCGTCAGGTCCAGGACGGTGTTCCCTTTCTTCAGAGAAGACTACGAAGGCTGGAAAGACTCCATTCGCCACAACCTTTCCTCCAACCGATGCTTCCGAAAGGTGGGGCAGGGCGGGGGCGGGGTGCACGCGGAAGTCCCGACCATCTGGGGTCGGGCAGCCCCACCCATGTCTGACCCCCACACCCAGGTGCCCAAGGACCCTGCAAAGCCCCAGGCCAAGGGCAACTTCTGGGCGGTCGACGTGAGCCTGATCCCCGCCGAGGCACTGCGGCTGCAGAACACGGCCCTGTGCCGGCGCTGGCAGAGCGGGGCTGCAAGAGGAGCCTTCGCCAAGGATCTGGGCCCCTACGTGCTGCACGGCCGGCCCTACCGGCCTCCCAGCCCCCCGCCGCCACCCAGCGAGGGCTTCAGCATCAAGTCCCTGCTAGGGGGCTCCCAGGAGGGGGCACCCTGGCCGGGGCTAGCTCCACACAGCAGCCCAGTTCCTACGGGCATGGAGAACAGTGGGGAAGAGGCTGTGCCCACCCCACCCCTGCCCTCCTCTGAGAGACCTCTGTGGCCCCTCTGCCCCCTTCCGGCCCCCATGAGAGTGGAGGGGGAGGCTTCCCAGGGGGGAGCCACCGGGCCCTCCACCCTCTCCCCAGAGCCTGGGGCCTGGTCTCTCCACTTACTACAAGGCACCTCAGTTCCTGGGGGGCTGTCCAGTGGGGGACACAGGGCCTCCCTCTGGGGGCAGCTGCCTACCTCATATTTGCCTATCTACACTCCCAATGTGGTAATGCCCTTGGCACCACTGCCCACCTCCTGTCCCCAGTGCCCACCATCAACCAGCCCTGCCTACTGGGGTGTGGCCCCTGAAACCCGAGGGCCCCCAGGGCTGCTCTGGGATCTAGACACCCTCTTCCAGGGGGTGCCACCCAACAAAAGCATCTATGACGTTTGGATCAGCCATCCTCGGGACCTGGCAGCCCCGGCCCCAGGGTGGCTGCTCTCTTGGTGCAGCCTGTGAGGCTCCTAAGGCAGGCGCTGCTCCTCCTTCCTGCTCCCAGCCCCTGCTTGTTGACAGAGAGCCAAGGCCAGTGGGGTGTCTGCGACCACAGCAGCCTCAAAACACCAGGCAGCAGCCTTGCTGGGAGTCCACGGTGTTTATTGGACTACTTGATGTGTGGCCGTGGCCCACCTGGGCATAGCCCTTGCCCTGGTCAGTCATGCCTGTTTCCCTACACCCAGAGGCAAAGCTGGAGAGGGCAGGGCTGAGCCTGGAATAGCCCTTCCTAGTTTCCTCTTCTCAGCCCACCACCTATCCATCCGTCTCTGGCCATCACCTCCCCTCCCTCCCTTGCTCCAGGCTGGGGGAGGGAGAGCCCAATGGTGGATCCGGCCTGAAGGCCTGCCCTCTCTCATCTGTCTGGGAAGGAGGTAGCACCTTTTTCAGGAAAGGGGTTAGGGAGTAAAAAGACTGGACCCTACGTGATCCTGGTGGTGGGCAAGATAACAGTAAAGGAATTTGCAACGTTTTAATGCCATGCCTGATTTTTGGGTCAGGAGTGGTGATTTGGAGAACCACTTGGGGTGGGGGGGCGGGTTGGGATTCCCTGCTGTGTGCTGTGATAACAGCAAATGGTGATAAGGAGGAAGGAGGCCTGCTGCCAGATGCGGGGCTGGGGGCGGGGGTGTGGTCACTTCACCAGGCGCGACGCACTGCACTGGCTGCGGAGGTGGAGGGGCGACTCTGGGAGTTCGGGGGCAGTGGACCCAAAGAGGCCAAGGAGCTTGTGCCCTGCGAGACGGGGTAGAGGGACTTTACTACTGCCTCTGCCAGCAGAGACAGCCTGAGACCCCTTGGGCAGGGCCGCGACCCAAGACTACAGGGGCAGGCCCCCTGCGGGCGCAAGGGCCGAGCCGGACCCACTGTCAGGTCTGGGGCTTGGAGGGCTGCCAGGGGACGGCGTAGGGGTGCAGGGAGTTCCGGTGAGCGGAGTGTCGGTACTGAGGGAGGAGGGTGTCCCGGAGGAGCGCGGGACCCTGCGGCGCCTGGCTGGCCCCAGCTCCACTTGACCCACTCGCTCGGCGAACTTGAGTGAGCAGACTGTCTCGCCCAGATCCTCCGGCCGCGTGGATATCTGCGGGCAAGGGGCGCCGATGGGCGGGCCCGGGTGGGCAGCGCCCGGGATGCACAGCCCCGCCCCACGCCTGTGCCGCCCCGGCGCCCACCTGCAGCAGCAGCACAGCTGTGGTGCCGGGGCCCAGCGCCGGCTGCAGCAGTCGCGTGAGCTGCGAGTCGCGGAAGGGCACGTGTGGCCGGTGGGCCCGCAGCGCGGCCATCACGCCTCCCAGCGCCAGCAGCGAGCGGTTGATAGTCTGGGCCTCCCGCAGGCGCCGGGCGCCGTCTGGGTCTCCCCGCTGCGGGCCGGCCTCCCCTGCCTTCCGTGCGCGCTCGGATCCCGCCAGGTCCACCAGATGCAATGTGCCTAGAGGGGCGAGCGAGCCTGACATGGGGGGAGGCCGGGCCTCGGGTGCGCTGGAGACTCCGCAGGGCTCAGGCACCGGCCGTGGTACCTGTGGTGCTCGGAGCGCGCGGTGGAGACGCCGCGCGCAGCGTCAGCGTGACCAGGGCGTGCGAGCGGGAGCTCCGCTGGTTCATGGCGGTGGCGGCGGTGGCCCGGTTGCTCCTCCCCAGTCTCAGCATCTGGAAGGCGAGGCAACAGGGCTGGTCTGGCGCAGGGTCCCCGCCCCCAAGCGGAAGCACTGGGACCCCGGAGGGCGGGGCAGCCTTACCTGGTGCAATGTCTCCAGGTTGGGCACGTCCCAGTGGGTGAGGCCAGCCACCTGGATCCCGCCCTGTCCTTCTGGGCACTGCCTCACAGCCAGGCGTTCGGGAGGCCCTGGGGCAAGGAGGTCCCTGGTGAGAAAGAGGAAGAGCTTAGTTCCAGGGTCTCTGGAAATCCAGAAGGGCCCTGGGCCTAGGGTAGGGAGGAGGCCAACCGGGGGGAGCAGCCGACCTGACAGCCTCGTTGTAGATCTCCACCATGCTGAGTGTCACCCGGTGTGGCCTGCCAGCCCCCATCTCCCGGAACAGCGACTGTAGCGCCCTAGGAGCTATGCCGGGGTCCTCAGGAGGGCCCTGAGGGTGGGGTGGGGTGCACAGCCAGCTCACATCCAAGTATCCAAGTCACGCAGAGCCCCTGGGCCGCTCCCACTGGGGCGTGGGCCCCCCCACCTCCATGCTGTAGGTCTTCCCGGTCCCGGTCTGGCCGTAGGTGAAGATGCAGACGCTGTAGCCTCGGAGGCAGGACAGCACTGCAGGTTCCAGCTCTCTGAAGACCTAGGGAGAGGTGGGGGAAAGCGTTTTTGAGTCCCGCTCATGCTGCCTGTTTGTGACCTATTTGGTGGGGTGGGGTGTGCCATGAAGGCAGGGTGTGAGTCTAGTCCCTGGGAGGATGGCTCTAAGGGACGGCGGGGGAGGAAGTGTCCTACTGAGAACTGCTGTCTCCCTGGAGAAGCTGGTGCTTGCAAGATGTTGCCAGGCAAAGAGGGAAAAGACGTGATGAGAAGAGGGAACGGCGTATGTGGAGGATCTGGAGTCCTGAAGGCCACCAAGGAGCCTGGGGCAGGAGCTAAGAGCCCAGGTGTGGCGTCCGCCCAGGAGGCCTGAGCGGCAGCTGAGACCCCAGGTGTGGCGTCCGCCCAGGAGGCCTGAGCGGCAGCTGAGACCCCAGGTGTGGCGTCCACCCCGGAGGCCTGCGCGGCAGCCGAGACCCCAGGTGTGGCGTCCACCACGGAGGCCTGGGCAGCAGCCGAGACCCCAGGTGTGGCGTCCACCCGGGAGGCCTGAGCGGCAGCCGAGAACCCACATGTGGCGTCCACCCGGGAGGCCTGGGCGGCAGCCGAGACCCCAGGTGTGGCGTCCACCGCGGAGGCCTGGGCGGCAGCCGAGAACCCAGGTGTGGTGTCCTTTACGTGGAAGCCGACATGAACAAAAATCCCAGGATTTGGGGAGGCCAAGGTGGGTGGATTGCTTGAGCTCTGGAGTTTGAGACCAGCCTGGGCAACATGGTGAAACCCTGTCTCTGTAAAAACTACAAAAAATTAGCCAGGCATGGTGTTGCACATCTGTGGTCCCAGCTACTCAGTAGGCTGAGGTGGGAGGCACTCTTGAGCGTGGGAAGCAGAGGTTGCAGTTAGCTGAGATTGCACCACTGCACTCCAGCCTGAAGGCAAAATGTGACACTGTCAAAAAAAAAAGGTGCATATATACATATGTGTCTGTGTGTATATATATGTATTTTTAAGAAAGATTTTAAAAGAGCCTAGATGTTAAGGTTTGACTGCCTGATTCACACTCCAGTATGATTGGAGTTTACTCATTGGCTTTCCTGTGCCTCAGTTTCCCCTCTGGGGAGTAAGGGCCGCAGTGGCACCTGATGTGAATGCCCGTGGCAGTGCACCTAGAGGGCCAGAGCAGTACCTGGCTCACAAAGCGTGAGCCCAGGAAGGGCCTACAGGTGTGGGGGATGGTGGCCAGCCAGGCCTGCTAAGCCTAGGTGGCAGGGACAGGTGCAGAGGCAGCTGAGAAAGACAGGGCTGGGACATTCACCCCGTTGGCACTGGACACCAACAATCTTTTGAGCAACAACATGGCTGGCTTTTATGCCTAGAAGGTCACTGGTAACAGGGTAGGCTGTCAGCTCTGTTTGAAGACTGCCATGAGGCCAGAATCTAGAATTCTGGGCTCTGTGTGGTCACTGAGATTCCATGACTGGACGAAGGTGGTGCTGTGGATGACATTCAGGGAGCGCATCATGGCGCCACTGCAGAAATGGGAACACAGGGAGGGGCTTGGCTACATGGCCTTTGGTTCAGACACACTGGATTAAAGAGCCCTGTCCAGGACAGCTGTCCAGAGGACAGTGCTCAAGGCATGCTCTGTGCAGGGCTGTAGTTTGGCCAGAAGAGATAAGTGGTTGGAAAAGAAGGAATCAGGGTGACCCTGGCCACATGCTGGGCGGTCATCACCCTGTCCGTGAGGCTGGCAGGTAACCTGGGCATGAGTCGCTGCCATTCTGTCCCTTACCTGGTCTCCCCTGGCTCTGAGCCAGCATCTCCTTTCTCCACAGAGACTGCACTTCCTCTAGCCACCTTCCCTGCCCCCTGGGCTCCCAAGCCTGCCATACCCTTGAGCTCTTGCAGCCACTCCGGGCATCCGGCTGGGGGCCCTTGCTGCCCCTCAGGGAGCTGAGTGCCAGGCCCTTGAGATGACAACCTGAGTGACAGATGCCCTCTGCTATGGGAGATCTAGCAGCCAAGGGGGCATGCAGATGAAGATGCCTGTGAAGATGGGGTGGGCTGGGGCTGGAGCCCCTGCTTTTCCACAGGTATCTGGCAGGAAAAGGGTAGGGAAGGAGAGTGGGATCCAGGCAGGGCAGAGAGAGCACACTAGGGCAAGAAGCTGCTCACCCATGGCCGCCCACCACAGACCTCGGGGCCACGATGCAATGAGGGGCACCTGCCCTCATAGCTGGGCAGACTCTGGACCCCAGCAAAGGGGAGTGGGCAGGCAGTGAAGCCTGGGAGCAGGAAACACCACGCTGGGCTGCCTGTCCTGCCTCCCAGCCTCCTCCGTTCCCTTTCGTTCCTGACTACAGCGCAGCCTCCCTCCCTCCTCCAGATAGGCAGCTAGACTGGAAAGGAGAAACTGGAGCCTCTCGTGTTCTTCAGGGGACTCTGAGAAAGGGTCAGCATAGGTTCAAAGGCAGGCCGTCACCTCCTCCTGGCTGGCGTCTGGAGGGAAGACCCAGTCCAGGCAGAATCGACGATGGCGCCCCCGGTAGCAGGTGGTGACGGTACCCCCTGGACCGGGCTCCACGCTCACTAGGCTGGAGGGTGTCCCTGGCCTCAGGCGACATAGCACACGGATATTTCCTGCAGTAGGGATCAGGTCAGCAAGATGCCTCCCAGACCCTAAAGCACAGAGAGGCTGAACTTCCTCCAGCCACCCTCCCTGCCCCCAGGCTCCCAAGCCTGCCATACCCTTGAGCTCTGGCAGCCGCCCTGGGCATCCGGCTGGGGGCCCTTGCTGCCCCTCAGGGAGCTGAGTGCCAGGCCCTCCGGATGACAGTGCCCCTAAGGCCCAGGACACCTGAGGAAACAGGGATGTGCAGTCAGCCAAGCAGCTGCCGAGGTAGGAGATAAGGGGTGCTGAAAGCAGCAAGAAGCCCCCACAGGACCACAATTTTCACTGGCTTTGGGCCCCTGGGGACATCATTCAGTGAGCATAGGATAAAGCCCAGGAATAACAAGGAGGGACACCACATCATCTGTCTTCTCTGTGATTCTGGGCAATGCTGTGAGAGTTTCACTGTCAACCAGGTTTGCACAGGATGGAAACAAGGCCCAGAAGTGAAGTCATACTCTGGGTCACACAGAAGCTGTTTGGGTTTCAGAGCCCCACTTCCTAGCACAGCCAGCTCCCCAGGGGCACCCCCATCAAAAGAAAAGTGAACAGACTGCCCAGAGAGTGG